TGCTTTTAAGCTACCAGACCAGTAGCTTCATTAGGGGGGTATTTAATGTTTATTTGCTGCCTTTCCTGAAGGCTTCAGGATCTCTATTGCTCACCATAGAGTGCTTTGCCTACTAGCTTAAACTGCTTTCCATCCCACCACTCTGACAACTCATTGAGCTTATGGTGGCTGGGATGCTTGCCCCAGGTTAAAAATAGATTTAGGAGTGTGACATCCATATGCTGTGAAATTACTGAGATAGGAAATCTCTCATCTTTGCTCTAGAGCCCCTAACCAGAATTTGGAAACCAGGCTCTCAACTGACTAGTTTCATTCATATACTCAAACAATTCACTTTTAAATTTAAAAGGCCTCATGATCTGTGAAAATATAGTTAAGTAGCTGAATTAAGAAAGCTAGCACATGGTAAAATGTAGAAAAGTTCACCTTATTATCTTTCCTTCTGATGATTCCAGTGTCTGCTCAGAGCATGAGAAGGAGCAGGAGGAAATAAATGCATGCTTGAGACTTGTTCAGATTGATTCATAAACAATTTTTAAAAAGAGAATAGTGTTTGGGAATGACCTCCCACTTGGTCTAATCATGGCTAGAGATTTTGCAGCAGTAACTGTTAGTTCCGTTCAGTCCATCCAATCTAATCTCAAGATGCTGGTCTGTTTTATGTTCTAAGTGCTTTGGTCCCAGTCTCCACTCTGGTTCTCCACTGGGACCACGATAGTTCTCCAGGACATGTCCCAGATCAACAACAGAGTCCCCAACTTGGGCTGCAACTGTAGCAGCTTATTGGTAGTAGGAGTCAAAATCAGGAAGGAATTTGGGCCATCTGTCCCACCTGCCCCAGTAAGTGTACCCATACTCACAAATCTGTCTGCTCCTGAACATATGGAAAAGAATGGCGTGGTGTGACAGACCAGAAATTTCTTCAAAAGCAAAGAAGAAACTTGAAGATGTTGGCAAAAGTATGACTGATTTCATCTCTTCCTACCTTTCCATTGCCAACTTTATTCTCCCTAGCCAGCTTTCAAGGGGCATTAGAAGTACATTTCTCTAAAACAGCCTTTTCCCTTCTCTATTCTCTCTTATGGAGTCTTTTCTCCTTTCCTGTTGCCATACAATTAGTAAGGTAGACTTGGAACTCATGGGCAAACCAAACATTTAACTTAACAAGAAGAGGGTTGGTGTGTAATCAGGTCTAGGCAAATAGGAGGTGGAGTGGGCTGGGGTGAGGCATAGGTAAAATTCATGAAGTCAGCTAACTCAGGGAAGAGCAATCAAATACTGTGAGTACAGAAAGGAAGAGCACCAAAGCCTAAGGAAGTCAGTTAAAAGGCAGGAAGAAATGGGAAGAAGAGATTCAAAGCCCAAGTAAGTTGAGAGGTGGGAATTAGAAACCCAGGCTAGGAGATTCAGTGGCCTGAGCTACTAAGTATATCCAAAATGCTGCTGATACAAATACAAGCAGATCCAAGAAAGTCTTTGCTCTCAAGGTGTTTACACTCTAATGGGGGAAGACAATACTCAAAAGGGAGCTGAAAAGCTGGGGTTGAGAAGCAAGGCATACAGATGGAAAGAGAGGGGGTGTTTTTAACGGCTAGACACTAGGAATGGGGCCTGGAGGGACATTACCTTGAATCATATCGCCAATCTCACCAATGGATCTTACTGAGGGATTTTCCATTCAAGAAGGCATCTGGGCTGGGTGGACTTTCCAGGGCCAGCTGGCCCTAGGCTCTGAGGGAAGTTCCAGGATGAGATAGCTTTGGAAGTTCCAGAACTTGGAAGTGGGTGGGGAGGGACATTAAATTGAATAATATTGCCATCCCCCTTAGCCTTTCTTTGGTGGGGGAGCTGAGCCTCAAACATGTGAATTGATAATAACTGTTTCACACTAGTTCTGATATGCATAATTGAATGTTGGTCATTTACAACTAATAAGGTATGTAAATATATCTGTCTGAATACCCATGGGTTTCTTTTGGAGGGGAGGGGAAACTGTTCTAGTTATGTTAGTAGCTTTAATTCTGATGTACTACTTGTGAATGAATGCAGTGTTTTCTGCTTTCCTTTTTTTTTTATCTATCCTTCTTCTCTCCTTTTTTCTTCTTCCCATTCCCATGTCCTTCCTCTTACTCAAAACATTTGCTTAGCATTTGGGGGTGTATTTAGGGTTGGTGAGAAAAGATATTGTGCAATTTGTTCCCCACCTTTAAAATATCCCATATATCTGTATAGTATTTGAAACTTTTTCGAGGCAAATTCACATGATTTCATTTGCTCCCCAAGGCAATCCTAGAAGATAGGTATGTTTTGACAGATCAGGAAAATAAGGCACAGAGTAGGTTAAGTTCTTCAAAAGCAAAGAAGAAACTGGAGATGTTAGGTGTAGAGAAAAAAACCACTAGATTTTAAGCCAAAGCACCTGGGTTTCATTTTCAGATCTTCCACCAGCTAGTAGGGTGAATTTGTGCAAGTCAAAACCTTGGTGGGACTTAGTTTCCTCATTTATAAAATGCAGGTGCTGGACTTTTGTTCAGTAGTTTCAGTCATGTCCAACTCTTCCTGACCCCATCTGGAGTTTTCTTGGCAAAGAAACTGGAGTGGTTTGCCATTTCCTTCTCCAGCTCTTTTTACAGATGACCACAACTGAGGCAAACAAGGTTAAGTGAGTTGCTCAAGGTCAGATAGCTAATAAGCATTGGAGGCCAGATTTGAGCCTAGGAAAGTGAGTCTTCCTAACTCCAACACAGGGTTACTCTATCTACCATGCCACTAGCCTTGGTGTTGGAGTAGAGAGCTCTAAAATCACAGAATCTAAAGGATGAAAAGGACTTCATAGGCTCCCACTCTAACTGGAACCAAAACAAGAATCCTTTCTACAACAGTTTCAGCTGAACTAACCTGGTAACTTTAATAATCTATGACTGGCCCATTTCTTGGTCAATTGTAACTCCATGCTAGATTTTTCTCCTCAGCTTTCCTACCCCATGAGGACAGAGAGTGGAAGAACAGAACCAGGATCAAGCTTTTCATGATGAGAAAGGATTGGGAAGCTGTATTGTATAGCGAGGAGAGTACTTATTTGTAGTTTCAAGGACTTGAGTTTAAGCTTCAGATTTATCATTTACTGGATACATGAAGTTGGACACACATTCTCCCTCTGAGTTTTAAACAATGTTGGACAATAGTGGGTCTTGCAGGGCTTTGGAAAACAATAGTCTTTACTGCCACCAGGCTTACGGTTACTCAGTGAACAAAAGTGGAATCATAGAATTTTGGAGTTGAATGGTCTTTGTGAGATCATCCAATCTAAACTTCTCATTTTACAAGTATGGAGAATGAGGCATAGAGAGTTGAAGCCAAGGTTACAATTGCTAATTGGCAGCAGACGCAAGATTATTCTGAGATCTCCTGAGAAACAGGAGCTGGTCTTGAGTTAAGAAAGATGGAGTTCAAATCTCAACTCTGAAACCTACTGCCTGTGAACTTGGGTAAGTCACTTGACCTCTTAGGTAGCTCTCTAAGAAGATAAGAAGTAGAGAAGATGCTGACCTTAACTGAAAGAGGAAGCTTCTCACACTATGCTCCATATATAGTGAAAGGTAAGTTCCTTTCTCTATTCCACACATACACTATTACCTTCTCCCACCCCATTTCTTAAAAATACCAATTGTCCTACTGGCCTAAAGTACAAGCATGGCAGTCTCTGGGCCCCCATTATGAGTCACACTCCTTATTCCTTATCCTCCATACACAAGCTGAGCTTCTGATCTCTGAGTGTTAGCAACGACCCCTACCACACACCTTGGGCAAGTGTTTCACCTTTTGGGGCCTTAGTTTCCTTGTGTGTCAAATAAATGGGGTGGGCTACATGATCTAAATATATGATCCTATGAAAAATAATTACACAAATTTAAAAATAAGTAAAGAAAAGAAAAAAGTAGTAAAAAAATGAGGTTTTAGAAGAAAGGACGGCCATGAATTAGGGAAAAATTTATCCACTATTGGAGTGTATATGAAGAGTGCTGTAGTGTTTGTAGAGAAGTCACACTAATGTGCTCAATATGCAACCATAACAGTTGAGAAGGATAGACATTTTAAGTTGGTTTCCCTTAATTTTTGACCCTTGAAAGTTAAATATAGATAGGGAGGCACTTCAGGAATTCTGCTTGGATTCAAGCAGAAAATAATCATGTGGCCAGGGCTGTGAGGGAGAGTCTTGTTGAAAAGTGCATTTAATTTTTGAAGTTCCCAATAGGTCACCTAGTACCCTGTTATCAGGAACATTTGCCTGATTTGCTCCCTAAAGCTCCTATCTGGAGTATCAAGGCAAAGCCTTATCTCATTTTCAGAATTCTCCTGCTACTAACCCCCTCCTCCTTCCTCATTCATTCATTCATTCATTCAACTAGCATTTATTATGTGCCTATTAGAAGCTGAAGACACAAAACCAAAAAAGGACAGTGTCTGCCCTCAAGAAGCCCCTGTATGATCTCCCTTTTAGATACTTCTTGCTTTCTAAGAAGTTTAAGTAAGATATAACCCTCTACAAGGTGGAAGAGGATGGGAGATTCTTTTATCTTCCCGCGTCCAAGGTGTACCGAGATTGAAAATATCTGCTATTGAAATTCCTGGGAGACTAGGTTCATATTGCATTACCCAAGGCCTGCCACACTGTGGTGGCTTACAAAAAAAAGTGGCCCCAAATGTGCTGGGGGCTCACATAGCTCTCCAGGTGGAGGTAAGAACGGGCGCGCGGGAGCGCGGGAGGGGCTGTGGCCCGGGGAGGGGGGTATGGAGCCGGGCTGCTGGGCCCCCGGCCCCCGCCTTAGCCTCGGGCTGCCTGGCTGGGGAGGATGTTCTGGCCGCACCCGCAGCCGATGGGCGGCAGCGTGAGCCCAGGAGTTACTGGAGCAGCGGCTGAAGCAGCGCTGAAGCGCTGCCTCCTCCCGCTCCCACAATGCACAGGGCGGCGGCGGCGGCGGCGGCGGCGGCGACGGCGGCGGCGGCAGCGGCGGCAGCAGCTGTGGCGGCATCCCGAGGCGTGGGGACAGCTCCCGACCCGCGAGTGATGGCCAAGCGCCTGCGGCCGGCCGCCTAAATCCCCGCCCTGCCCGGCGGCTGCCCGCGCTTCCTCGGCTTCGGGCAGCGGCGGCGGCCCATGCGGGATCCGGCCTCCGCAGAGGCGACAGAGGCACGGGCGGCCGGGGGGGCGTTAGGGGTATCGGCTGGGGGACGAGGCCCGAGCGGGCGGCGCCGGCACCATGGCCGCGTCGGAGCTCTACACAAAGGTAACGGCCCGGCCCGGGGGCAGCATCCTGGGGAGGGGCATGGCTGGGGGGGGGAGACGGGGAGGATGATGGACCCGCCCCGGCCAGCTGATGTCGCCTCCTCCCTCATCCGTCCAGCTGTCAGCGTCTCCTCAGGCAGGAGCGGGATGCCCAGCTGTCTGCCTGTCTGTCTGCCCAAAACTGAAGAACTGTCATGACTTGGGGTGGGGGTGGAGGGGGGATCGGAGAAGCACCACCCTTCCGGTACCCAGGGCCTGGCGTCCTCCTGAGAGGGCCGAGAGCATCCCTTTCGCTGGAGGTCAGGACCTCTGCTCCTCCCTACCTGGCATGAAACCTTCCCCTTTAGCGGTGAAGATTTTCAATTCAATTCAATCAACATTTACTAAGCCTACTATGTGCCAGGCATTGGGGACAAAGAAGAGGCAAAAGACAGCCCCTTCCCTCAAGGAGCTTATAATCTAACTGGGTATACAACATGCAAACAAATATATACACAGCAAGATGATGATGGAGACAGGGGTGCCTATTTCCATGGGGCAGTGCTTTGGCCTCTGCAGTTCCTTTCAGCTTGATTTTCTTTAGGCTTGTGAAGAAGTGCCTTCATATTCACTAAGAGACCTTTCAAAGTCCTGAAAAAAATCCGGAATAGGAGTTAATCAGATGACCTTATAATGAATGATGGTGTACATTTTATCCTTGGAGAGGGCAGGAGAGGGGCACCTGCTTAAAATAATTCTTTTTGTTTTTTGTTTTTTTATTTCCTCTGCCACTTCTTTTTTAACTCAGGTATTTCTTTTCTTTTCTTTTCTTTTCTTTTTTTTTGTTTGTTCTTCTAAGACACTTGGGATCAAATGTTTGCCAAACTTTTCACCTTTTGGCTTACCAGTAGCAGACTGGGCTAGATTTGGGCATTAAATTTTAGTTTCTGCTCAATCCATGTACTAGGATGATCACTTGTCAGGGCTATTTGCAGATTCCTGCATTGGGTTGAACTATATAACCTTTAAGGATTTTCCTAGCTCTTAAGATTCTATGATTCCAAGATTCCTGACTGAGATAATTGTTTCTCCTATTTTTATTAAAGGGTCTCTTTTGCTACTGAAGTTTGCAACCTTGTTATGTATTCCCTGAACTCCTATATGTCTATTTTCATGACCATTCACTGGGGGCCATTCCTTTTGAGCTTACTAAATGTGTGAATATTCATTCTTTTTCTCTGTGACAGACTTTTCGGTTTTGTAACCTTTGGTTTTTCAGAATAATACATTACTTTCTTGAAGACTCTTCTAAAAGTGAGTGCTTTATTTGTTGTCATTCTTGATTGAATGTGGTTGCTGCTTTTCCAGTTGTATTTTGCTGGCTACTAGTTATAATACAAAGGATCCCATTTCTTTTTAAGTTTGTTTACAACAAAATCTTTGATGACAGCCCAAACAAATTTGTAGATGTAGAGATGTGAGGCCAGCATCTAGAAAGGTGAGGTGGAAAGCATTCTCTAACCTATGTTGTTGTCCTGCCACTACTATCATTTATCTCTATAACCTTGGGATAGTCAATAGAATTCAATGATTTTATTACTCTAAGTTTATATCTTTCTTCTCTACTTCAGTAAATACTTCCAGGTTCTGTGATTTCATTGGTATGAGTATATCCCCTAACCAAAGAAGATCACAAATGTTCTTTCTTCTTCATGTGTTGTTCTGGTTGAAATAAATGGATCACTGTGGCCAAACTTCTGGTGATGAGCCTTTCCTCACTTAGCTAGGCAGGTCCTTAGACATCAGACATTCAGTCTGTTGACTCCACCCTGACAAAAAGCTTTCCAGCTTGGGTCAGACCCCCATTTATTACTGGCCCACCCTCTAAGAGTTCACTGTCACTTTTCTGCTATGAGAGAACATTGGTGTAGAGCTTTAGTGAAGGATATTTCACAAAACTGACATTATCTTCACCCATCTGTATGAATTCAGATTTTAAAAGTTCTAGGACTCATTTCAGAATAGCTCTGACATAAATAAATTCCATTTATAAGTTTGTCTTGGTTACTCAGTGCATGTCCTACAACTGTTCATTACAATTGAAATGGAATTCTCCAACAAGAAATCAACTGTGTAAGTAAGGCATGTCATAGAGACTCTGGTTGTGTCAATTTCTCTGATCTACCGCAGTAATTTGTGTGAGAGAAAATCTTACTGGTATCATTGAAATTTTGAATGTTCCTAGTTCTTACATCCATTCTCATGATTTTCAAGTTTAGATTGTGAATTCAAAAGCCTTCTAATATGTGCATTATCATAATTCTAGATTTGAGCACCAGCTTTTAGCCTACATAAACTTCATTTGAAACTCAAAATCCTCATTGACTACCTTCTCCTAAATACCTTTGTGTTAAAATAAATTTAACTATTTGGCTATATTTTTGGGATTGGGCCTTAGCTGGTGATTTAACTTTATGGCTGGTATTCACTTCTGTTATGCTTTTGACCCTCTTTGAGTCTCTAGTGTTATAAATAGACCACTGTGTCTTCAACTGCAGGCAGACAGTTGGAAAAGAAGTGTATTAGTGATAGTGTGTAACTGTGGAAATATTAGGGATATTTCCAGAAATAAAGGCTTAATGAGTAGCAATTTTTTGGGGGGGCACAGGAATTCAGCAGAAATAGGAAATATTAGAGAAATAGGAAATGATAGGGATAGGCCCAAAGAAAAGGATAGGGATTACAGGACAGGAAGCAATACACTATTACAAGAAATTGAGGGAAAAAAAAAGAAATTGAGATGATGGTAATATGTCATTTTTGGCATTGTACTATTTAAGTTATTTTTTTAAAAATCTCTTTAGATTTATGTAGGACTTAGTAGAGAGAAACCTTTCCTTGATAGATGGAAACCATCAAATGCAGAAAGGGTAGTTTTTATTTTCTAGGATTTGCGATTTATGCATGGGTCAAGTCATAATACAGTAGAACACTATCCAGTTTCTCCTGGTGAACCAGGATGCTGTTTGACTAAAATAGTCAAAACAAACATTTTCTGTTTTTGGAAACCTTTTCTCCTGCAAAGAAAATTACTGGTGAAATAAATATTTGGGTTGGTAGTATGCACACAACTCAAACTTATGTCAAAACATTTTATTTGGAAAAAAATGTTTTCCAGTGTAAACTGTCAAGTTGGAGAATTTCTCACCTTTTTTCAAGTGCCAATCCCCTCTACTTATGCATTTCATTTCAACCCTTTCAATTTTATGATGGATTTTTCTTGATAGTTTACAAAAAAAACTTTCATATATATTATCACATTTGGTTCTTACGACAACTCCTTGAGTTAGAAATAGGATGAGTATTACTATTCCCATTTTACGGATGAAGAAGTTGAGACCCAGTGATTAAATGACTTGTATGGCTTAGGTCAATGTGCTTTTGACTGTACCTTCATCCTCTTCTGTAATCTCTCCCTCACCAACAGGTTCCTTTGCTTTTGTTTTTTAAACATGAACAGGTATCAACAATATTGAAAGAATCTATTCAAGTACCCTATCATTTTTTTTTTCAGTTGCCATCTGATTTTTCTTTTAGTCTTCTATGGCTGAACTTCTGAATGGGTAGCTAATCTCTCTTTCCAATTGCTCACCCCTCCTCTCTAACCCCCTGTGGTTTCTATTGAAACTACTCTTTGAAGTCATCAGTGGCTTCCTCTAGCCCAATTTGATACAGGTTGACATTCCTGTTTAAGTGTCTAAATCGTTCAAAGCAATGGGGATACAAAGTCAAAAGTTAAACAGTCCAAGCTTGCCCTTAAGGAACTGACATTCTGTTAGGAAAGAAGATATGTGTGTGTATGTATCTATATATATATGTGTATATATGTGTATACTTTAGAAAGATAGGGTCATGTTGTGGGGGTGGGGAAGGCACAAACAGCTGGGGGGAATCAAGAAAGACTCTATGTAGGAAGTGGCAGTTGAGCTAAAAACTATTGATTCTGAGAGGTGGAGGTGAGGAGGTAGTACATTCTAGGCCTGAGAGACAGGCAATGCTAAGGCATAGAAATGAGGGAAGGAGAATCATCAAGTAGAGTGAGGAACAAGAACACCATAGAGTGAATAAAGGATTTGTTGTTCAATTGCGGCCAGCTCTTCATGGTGCTTTTTGGGGGGGGTTTCTTGGCAGAGATATTAGAGTAGTTTGCCATTTCCTTCTCCAGTTCATTTTACAGATGAGGAACTGAGGCAGATAGGGTTAAGTGACTTGCCCAGGGTCACCCAGCTATTAAGTATGCACTTACTGGGGCCAGATTTGAACTCATGAAGATAAATCTTCCTGATTCCAAGTCCAGTGCTCTATCTACTGCATAATATAATATACCACCTAGCTGCCCTGCATAAAAGAGAGTAATGCATAATAAAGCTGTGAGGGTAGGTTAGAGCTGGGTTGTGAAGGGCTTTAAATATTGAAACAGTGCAGTTTGTATTTGGTCCTAGAAGTAATAGGAAACCTCAGAAGTTTGAGCAGAGCAGTGATATGATAAGATCTAAATTTTAGGAAATTCTCTTTGGAAAATCTCTATATGGAAGTTATGTTGGAGAGGGGAGAGACTTGAAACAAGGAGATCCGTTGGGAGACTATTGAAATAGTCCCAGTGAGAGGGGATGAAGGCCTGAACTAGGGTGGTGACTGTGTGAGTGGAGAGAAAAAGACATATAGTCTTTTAATCATATAGAATTTATAAAATTTGGCAACTGGTTGGGTATGGTGTTTCCTAGCTTATGAGACAAGGTAATTGGAAGGATGATGGTGCTCTTGACAGAAACAGGGAAGTTTGGAAAAGGCATGGACTGGGGAGAGATCATGAGTTCTGTTTTGGGACATGTTGAGCCTTAGATGCTTAGGAGGCATCCAGTTTGGAAACTGCCAATAAGAAGTTGGTAATGCAAGATGGGATTGAAAGAGAGACTAGGGTGGGATATATAGATATGGGGGTCATCTATATAGACGATAATA